TGAAATCCATTTTTTTTTATAAAAATTAAATATAGAATATAATCAATGCATTTTTTTTTTTAAAACTTTTTATTATGAAGTGAGTTCGAAACCAAACAAAGGAGGGAGAAAATGCACTCTGTGAATGACACTCGCCATTGTGCACAAGGTCAAGCGCATAATCAATGCATCTTTAATATATATTTAAGATAGAAAGTAGATAAACACAATTAATATTTGACAAGTAGCCTAAATCATGGTATAGATTACCAGTAGAAAAAAAAAATTAATAATCATGTACGAATTAGTAAAACAATGAAGTAGAGTGGTCCCTTTCACATCATATTGGATTCTCACCCTCATTAAAAAATTTTCGTCTTTTTCAAACTTTGATGAGGGAATCTCCTGAAAATAGTACTATTCCTCACCCTAAAAACCCCACCTGGTAGCCTGGTAGCTATTACCCCCCCCCTAAATAATTGTTTTTTGTTTTTTTTTGGTGGAATACCTAAATTATTGTTTTCAAATAATAAAGTTAAATTTCAGTCTGACCCTCAAACTTCTTTTTGAGCCCATTAAGCCCCTCTATTAAACAGTCCAATTAAGAAGAAAATTAAGTTAGAGAATAAAAAGACACTTTAGCAAAGATTAGTCGTAAAGTACACAAAAATTGGTCTAAAAACATTTTTTACTTTCCAAACAATAAAAAGAAACTTTAACTCACACATTTATAGTATCATTATTAAAACTTTACCCAACTAACTTTCCAAGATATTTTTTTGTGTAACATTATCATAGTCAACTTTTACACAAGTTAGTAGGAAGCTAACTGAATGGAAACCTAAATGACAAGACATCGATTAAGTGAATTTTTTTCATTCAACTTTGATCTTATCAAATGGTGACTATATTTGGTTTATTTATTGTCAAAAAGTAATTGATAGATAATATTAAATAATTGATAATATTTATTATTTATAATTTAAAACTCTATAGTTCGTGTGATTTAGATAAAATAACTATTAGTT